AAGTCTGGCAGTTACACCGCAGGGCCTGACTTCAGGGTAGCTTTGAAAACAGAGATAAAAGAAGAACGCCTCAGTGGTCATTACAGCATTTTCCTTCTAAAGATCGGGTTTTCCTTCTTAAAAGCACCTTGGTTTCTTTGATAGCTGGTGGATGTGTGTTGAATGCTCAGTTGAGATCCATATAGATATGGAAACCCTCAGAGTTTCAGAACCAATTTGCGTGTCTCGATGGGTATACCTCCAGCGTTTCTCATTTAGCACTGTTTACCTTTCATTTCATCTGCTTCTGTCTGACTTGGAGAGTTTCGATAACACCTACCGTATTCCTTGGACCGAGAGCGCACCCTGACAATACTCTGCAGCCCTGCACATCTCTCGGGTGGGTGATCTTGGCAGGAGCCTCCCATAGGCCCTGAACCTGGTGGCTTTCTGGTCTTCCTCAGGATGGTTCTGGTGTTTGTCTTTCAGTAAGGGGCTTTGGACTTGCCTCGTGTTGATGGAATTCTTCCCAGCAGATGCAGTGTGGTTTCAGAATTGCTGGCCTCCCTCCCTGGTCTGAAGCAGGCCCTCCACACGCCTTGACTGGTCCCTGAGTCCCCTTCTGGTGTGCTCCTTGAAGGCTCCAGCCCTCATTTCTCTCGGCGTTAGTTCACCTCGTTCTGTCCCACATGGGAGCGTTGGCCATGCTCCACGCCCTGAGGTCCCCGGGCCTGCGATCCTGCTCAGAACACCTCTGTGCGCACTTCACATGCCCACACCTTCCCGGGAACACGGGTCAGGTTGCTCCTGTTCCCAGCAGCTTCCTCTGACTCCCCTGCAGGGAGGGCATCTCCCTGCTTCAGGCACCTCGCCTTGACTCTCACGGCACTTGCCGACCTGGACCTTGTGTTATGCAACCATTTGATGATGTTTTGCATCCTTGTGGGCCGCTGGGCTCCCTGTCTCAGTCTCCCAGTCTTCTCCTCTGGGCTTCTGGCCAGACCGTTGGCCTCCAGCCTCAGGTGCGCGTAGTGAGGATGGGCAGGGTGTGCCTGTCCTCTTCCCGGCCCCCCGAGTGCATCTGCTGTGTGGCTGCTGTCCACAAGGCCCCAGCCCTCCATGCCCTTAACCCTTAAAGTAGGCCCGTGTCTCCACTGCCCTTTGACAGGGAGAAGGACCCTTTCTGAGGCTTCCACCCACTGACCCCAAAGGCCACGGGGCGGTGGGCCTTTTACCCCTTGCTGTATGTCCGCCCTGTGGGAATGGCCTGTCTGGGTGGGTCTGCAGGCCTGGCGCACCTACTGTGACCTGGCTTTGTTCATTTATCGCCTGGCCCCCCAGCGCCCCAGTCTAACGGGGACATGGGACACTTTGGGTTCAGTGAACCTTGAGCTGCCAGGTGTGGCCCTCTGCCCGGCGTGTGAGCCCCAGGTAAGCAGCGGGAGGTCCCTGGAGACTGACGGGGGTGGGGGTGTCTTGTTACACACCTGCCTGGTGCTGCGGGGCCCTGACCGTGGGGCATCCGGCCACGTTCCCATCAGGGGTCCCGTGTCTGAAACCGGCCGAGCCCAGGCCTGGGTGAAGGACTTTGACTTCAGTGGGGTGACTCCCCTCAGCCTCCTGCTCATTCACTCCTGTGTCCCTTGGCCTTGTGTGGATGCGTGTCTCTGTGTGGGGGGCCAGTGATACAGGGGCGGAGGGCCATCTGCTCCACTCCTTGGAGGATGTCTCCTGTTGTCTGTCCGCCAGTTGGCCTTCCTTGGCTGGTACCCTGGCCTGGTTGGTCGTTAGGATAATTGCTGCCCCCTGGCTTCTGGCAGTCACCTACCACCAGCAGGCCACTCTCGCTTTGGGGCCAGGTTTAATTGCTGGGGTCAGAGAGTGGTCACAGAGCCTGTTATCAACAAGCCACGCTTCCCGACAGCTTCTCCTGAGAGCAGGATGGTGGGTCACCTGGTATGTGGACGTTCAGCTGCCAAAATGTTTTCCAGAATGTTTGAATTATTTTACACTCTTTCTAGCAATACTGGAGGAGTACAGTTGCCTTTACATTGACGTTAGCCTTTCCGGCAGGTATGCAGTCTATCTTGTTTTGGTTTTATTGTGCGTTTCTCCAGTTACTGCTGATGTCGAATGTCTTTTCTGGAGCCTTTTGACCATTCATGTTTTCTTTTGTGAAATGTCTGATTCAGTCTTCTGCCTGCTTTTGAAAATTGGGTTACTTGTCTTATTATTAAGTTGTAGAAATTCTTTATATATATTAAATACAAGCCCTTTATCAGGATACAGATATATGTATTCTGAATATTGTCTCCCAAGTTCTGCATTATTTTTAAAGCCAAGTCTTTCCAAGAGCTGCAGTTTTAAATTTTGATAAAGTCCAATGTCTTTTGGTGAATGAAGTTCTTAATTATAAAGTAGCCTGTTATCAGTCTTTTTCTTTGTCATTTGTGGTTTTTCTGCCTGAATTAAGAAGTCTGCTTATTCCAGAGTTAGGATATACTACTATGTATTCTAGAAAGATTTGTATGGTTTTATCTTACTCATTTCGATCTCCAGTCTTTCTGGAGTTAGTTTTTGGATGTGTTGTGAAGTAGAATGCAGCTCATTTCTTTTTTTTTCACATGGATACATAACTGATCCAGCATCTTTTATTGAAAAGATCATCCTTTGTCCACTCCAGTAAGTATCATTTTGTCATTTTGTTTTAAATCAGGTGGCCATCTCTGTGAAATCTATTTCTGGATTCCCTTTTCTTTCTCTGGGCTATTTATCTCACTGGGTATCAGCAGTAAATTAATGCCAGATTGTAAACCATCCAGTTTTGTTCTTCTGCATGACTGTCTTGGCCATCTGGGTAGTTCACATTTCCATGTAAATTTTAGCATTTCTTCCAAAAAAAAAAAAAAAGGCCAAGTAGAACTTTGAGGATTCAGGGCTCTTTCCAGTCGAGAAGTTTCCCATCTATGAACATGGTATGCCCCTCCAGTTAGTGAGGCCTTTGCTCTGTTAGATATTATTGGATATTTCATTTTTTAATTAGATCGTTAATAGTTTTTCAAATTTTGTTTTTAAGAAATCTTTGTAATCTATAGATACCAGTTGAATTTTGTACATCATCTTTGTGTCTAGCAGTTTTGCTGATTTCCCTTTGTATTTACTGTCTATGTGTGTGGATTCTAAGATTTTTACACATATAATCATTAGCAAATAACAGTACTTTTATCCTTTTCTTGTTCTTACAGCTTTTATTTTTCTTGCCATGCTGAAGTAGTTAGGACCTCCGGTGTAGCACAGAGCATTCTCGTCTCGTTCCTCTTCTCAAGGGGGAAGCATTTAACGTGTCACCCGCGGCAGTTAGGTTTGCCGGGTGAGCAGGCAGCTGTAGGAGGCGTTACCTGCCCGACTCCGGAGCAGGATTCTCGGAGGGAGCTGGCCGCCGGGGCTCAGCGCTGGCCGCCCCTCCCGCACCAGCTGTTTCTGCCGCGTGTCACCTGCTGTCTCGTGCACACAGTCAGCGTTTCGTTCTCAGGTCACTCGCCCCATCACTTTTCAGGGTAGAACTTTCTTTTTCTGTCATGTAGGAAGATTAAAATAACCTGTGCCTCTGCTGGGTGAGTGTTTTGGGCATTTGCTGCTGCCTTCCAACTCAGAGTTACCAACTGCCTCTTCAGTTCATTTCTCTTTTCAGGAGTTCTGTTGCCAACCCCAGGGGCTCTGCAGTGAGACTGTGAAAGTTAAAATCTCAGCGAAAAAATCCATTTCGCTCATAGACAGAAACTGTCATGCTCTACTCTGCATGGTTAAAGGTGGATGTGTTAACACTGAATTTGTATGTAACATCCATGATTCTTTAAGCTGCAATTCCCTGCTCTGTCAGACCCAGTCAGGTACCTGAACAGAGTGCTGAGATAGGGATCAGAGAGGCGTGGTTGAAGTTCTGATCCTCCTGCTGACCGTTTGATCGTGGGTGATGATGGTGTTGTGATGACAGCACCCGGGGGGCCAGGCATCTCCCCTGTGGCTCCTGCTGTGGGGCTCCTGGCTGGTTGGTTTGGTGTTTAGATGAAGGACCACTGCATGTAGTGAGAAGTGGGGCGTTTTCTAATGTGTGGTAAGGCCCTTTCCTTCCCCCTCTTAATTTTTGTGTAGGAATTACTGCTCATGGGGCATTGTTTTCTACAATTATTTCATATTCTTCACTTGATACCAGTTACTGATTTAACATTGAAGCCTATTCATTTTTTTATTACCATTTATTAAAGACCACTTTTAAAGGGGAAGGTGCTTGGCACATGTGCTGTTCAGAACCAAGCAGCACATTTTGGAAGAGTTTACATTTAAGAATTTGTGGTTCAGCTTTTAATCATGTGACGTTAAATCTGTTTCTTTCATCTCATTGGTGCCTTTTCATCTTATTTTGTGTCTCACTGCAAAAATCTGCTCACAGAAGAGGACTTTTTTAGAAGGCAGAAACCTGGAGCCAGCACGCTCCTTGCAAAGAGGGAGCCTGCCTCTCTGTCCCCAGAGTGGTTCTGCGTCGAGGTCGGGCCCTGGGCTGCTCTCTGCCAGGGCTTGGCCGTGGCCCCCGGCCTGTGCTCACGGCTTCAGTGGACTGAGGGGCCTGCACCCGCACGGACACCATTTAGCACATATGTGTGAGCACCACACATGTGCTCCCCTGCCCCCGAGCCTGGCGCTCTCACTGGGCTTCCAAGGAAAATGTGTTTAATGTGGCCCTTAGACCCTCTGCACCCACAGTGATTATAGCTTTAGCTGCAGCCCATCCCCACCCCCCACCCCGTCTCCCTCCCTTGTTTGAAGAACTATTGAAGAAGAACAGGAGGAAATCAATCTTGAGGAAATTAAATTTTCTTCGGCAGCAGGATGACGTGGGAGCAGGGAGCAGTGGCTTGAGCTCCGCGGTCGGTCTGGTTCCTTGGGGCAGGGGTGTGGGGCGCCGCCTGCAGGGTAGGGGGGGCAGCGCGCTCTGCTGACGTCTCCCTTGTCCTGCTCCGCAGCTGCAGACAGCAAAGTGGTGACTTGCGCCGCTGTGTGGAGGATGCCTGCGGAGCTGGAGCCCGGCGGCCAGGAGTCCCCCGAGGACGCGACGAGCCCCGCACACGCCCTGGAGCTGCTCTGTCACCTGGAGCCCGCGGCCCGCGGCAGCACCGCCTGGTAGGCCCCCCGCCCCGCACGCCCCTGGGGGCAGGTGCCCTGCAGAGGCCTCTCTGCCGTGTGCAGAGGAGGTGGCAGTAGCTCGCCTTCTCTCTGTTCAGTACCAGCTGTTACCCAGATGACGCGTCTCCGAGGGCCCTGCTGCACACACTCTGGGTGGAGCTGTGTCCGGGGCCTTTCCTGCTGACGTCCGTCCTACTGGTACCTTCTGGGAGGACTGTCAGGCGCCGGCCAGCCCTGAAACACTCCAGTGCTTTCTGCTTCATAAGTTCACGTCTGCTCCGCCATCCTGTGCAAACACTGACCTCTCTGTCGGCTTGGGCTGGAGGCTTCTGGTGTCACTTTCCGTGGACCCAGTGGATGCCCCTGTGCAGGTCATGTGGTGTCCCAAGTCCTTGGAGGCTTCGTCCTGAATTTATTTCCCCAAACGTCCCGCACAGTGTCAAGACAGACAGACGCCTCCGGCCTCCCATCAGGGCTCCCTGGCACATGGCTGCCCATGTATGTGGTGACGGGGTGGCTGTGCCTCTGGGGTGACGCACAGGCCAACCTCAGAGCATGCCCAGCTCACCCCTTAAGAAGCCCTGTTTCCTAGATGTGACGGAGGGGTGCCCTTGTGATGGGGGTGCATGTCACAACAGCAGTTCTTGATACAGTAGCACTCCCGAGTGTGTGTGCATGCACAGTCCCTTCTCGGCCACCCCCTGACAGTTACACGCATCTAGTCCAGCAGGTGATTATTAAGCACCCACTGCACACCCCACCTTGCTCCAGGGTCATGGCCCAGGGACCTGGCCTCCAGGAGTCAGGCTCTCTAGGGGGGTACGTGGTGTCAACATCTACCCAGGACCTGGGCGGGCGGGCGGGGGCCAGGCTGGAGTTGTGAGCCCTGTGCATGGGCCCCGAGGGAAGAGATACTCAGGAATTGGCGAGGGGGTCTCTGAGGAGGTGATGTCTGGAGCTGGGGCTGATCCTGGTCTCCCCATCTGGGTGTGGGAGGTGGGGAGCAGAGCTACAGCCTGGGAGGCCTGTCGCCTGGGGGGGTGGAGGGGTGTCAGCACCCGCCAGGCCGCGCGGGTCTCTCTCCCCAGGACATGAGCCGTCTGTGCAGAAGGGGTGTGAGGGCCTGTCCTGTCCCCCAAAGCACAGCTGCCCGCACCCCACATTGAGCTGTTTGGAGGCGTGTCTCAGATGGCAGCCCCGTCTCCCCAGGAAGTGTTTGCACGTGTGTGTGTGGTCCTGCTCGAGGAGGACCCGGGGGGATGGACAGCCCATGGACGCGTGCCCGTGGAAGCGCCTCTGGGTCCGCAGCTTTGGGCTGCTGTGAGCCGACTCTCTGAACAGTCTCTGCACACCCAGGTCTCTGCTCCGCTGCCTGGTGCCGGGGGCAGCTGCTGGGCCGGGCGGTGCCGTGTCCGTTTTGTGGAGGTGGGGGCTGCTCCTGCGGTGTGTGCGGGCCCCATCTTGGCACCCTCGCTGGGCTGGACAGCGCCGTGTGTGTTTTGTGGAGGCGGGGGCTGCGCTTGCGGTGTGTGCGGGCCCCGTCTCGGCACCCTCGCTGGGCTGGGCAGCGCTGTGTCTGTTTTGTGGTGGCGGGGGGCTGCCCCTGCGGGGAGTGCGGGCCCCGTCTCGGTGCCCTCGCCGGCACGAGGGGGGCGTGCACCTTCTCTGGAGTGTCTTCAGTGCAGTCAGTCTCCTCCTGACGCACGAACTCGAGTCCGGGGAGGCGTGGGGGTGAAGGGTGCTGCTGGTGGTCACGTGCATGGCAGGCAGTGGTTCCGTTCCCTTGTTGCCCTTCTGAATTGTTGTCTGTGCTGAAAGCAGATCTAGGAGTGCGGCTCCCAGCTGTGCTGACCGTCCTCTGCTGCTGCCCGTGGGGGCATCCAGGAGCACTGCACAGTCCCAGGGCCTCAGAGCGTGGCTGTGTCCACTGGCCGAGGCACGGGCTCCTATCCTCAGAGCCACCTGTCCTGAGCAGCCGGGACACTGGGCGGACAGCCTCCTCGCCTCCACTGCAACAGGCAGGGTTGGGCAGTGCCCGGCGGGCAACACTCGTGTCCTGAGTCCCCTCCAGGGACCGGCCAGGACTGAGGGGGGACGTTCTAGAGGGCCTGTGGCTCTGTGTGCTTGGCGGGCACATGCTACAGGGGCGAGCACTGATGTGTCCCGTGTGGGCCCGGGCCCTTGTGCTTGCCTGTCCCAGGTGGCAGTAGGGTCACTGGAAAGCCACCAGATTCTCTAGAGCAGGTCTCCATTCCTGCAAAGGAGGTGACGTTTCTGGTCGTGGCAGGGCCCCTGGATTTGTGGTACTGTCTGTAAATGAGGCAGTGAAGGGGCTGGCATAACGTACCCCCCAGACCCTTCGGGGCCTGACTTCCTGCTTCTGCCCGTGGGGAGGCAGGTCCCAACGTGGCCTGGAGGGGCCGCCTGGGGAGATCTGCAGCCTTTGACTCCCATGGGCTCAGTGTCACCTCCTCAGGGAGGCTCTTCCTAACGTCTCTCCAGATGAACCTTGCTCACCCCCACTCAGGCCCTTCTGTCGTTTTGCACGATTTCATCTTTTGTCGCATCTGTGGTCACCACTGCCTAGTTCGTGCTCCTGTGGCGGTCTCTGTAGACTGAGCTGCTTTCATGGCGGGGCTCTCAACCCTAAGGACAGCGCCTGGTGCTGGGAGAGAGAAGGAGCGACTTTCAGCACCAACGACAGCGCCTGGTGCTGCGGGAGAGACGGGGCGAGTTTCAGCGCCAAGGACAGCGCCTGACGGTGCGGTGGGAAGGGGCGAGTTTCAGCACCAAGGACAGCGCCTGGTACTGCCGGGGAAGGAGCGACTTCAGCACCAAGGGCAGCGCCTGGTGCTGCCCGGGAAGGAGCGACTTCAGCACCAAGGGCAGCGCCTGGTGCTGCGGGGGAGAAGGGGCGACTTTCAGCACCAAGGACAGCGCCCTGGTGCTGCCGGGGAAGGAGCGACTTCAGCACCAAGGGCAGCGCCTGGTACTGCCGGGGAAGGAGCGACTTCAGCACCAAGGGCAGCGCCTGGTGCTGCCCGGGAAGGAGCGACTTCAGCACCAAGGGCAGCGCCTGGTGCTGCGGGGGAGAAGGGGCGAATTGGGGCCACTTGGGGCCACAGTGCTGAGGCTGAGTCCTGACCGGGCCCTGGGCCCTGGGGGCGGGGTTTATACGCATCGCCTCGTGCATGTCTCACAGCGACCCCGTAAATGGGAACCACCACAAACTCCCCTAGTTCCCCGGGGTCCCTGCAGCCCACCTGTTCCCTGTTCACCCTGGTGTCTCTTGCAGTCCCACGAGGGGGAGGTGTTCGGGAACGCAGCAGGCAAGAGCAGGAAGGGGTGGTGGTCTCCTTCACCGGCTCCTGTGAGATCTCGGCCGTTTGACGACTGCCTTCGGCCGGAGTGCTGAGTAGCCTCCACAGGGTGACTGCAGCCCCGCGTCTCCTCCTGATGCTGGAGAGGCTCTCAGGCTGCCGAGGGGGTGGACCTTGGCTGTGGGCCTGTCCCCCCACCGAGCTGGGGGGCAGAGTCCGTGGTGTGGGAACAGGGCCACTTCCCGGGTGGTGTACGGGGGCAGGCACACAGATTGTGGGGTCTTGTGGGCGGTGAGACCCATTTGGGTGGGCATCTGCTTAAAGGAGGCGTCACTGAGATCAGAGCCCAGCAGTTTTGGGGATGCAGTGTGGTTATGACAGTTGGCTGCAGCCCCCTCCCCACGGGCCCTGCTCCCCCCTCAAGTGAAGGGGCTGAGAAGGCTGGGGAGCCTCACCCCAGGCTCAAGCTGGGTCTCCCTCAGGCCCTCCCAGATGCTCCGGGCCCTCGATGGGGGACCACCGGCCTCTGCTTTCTGCGCCAGCTTTTTGGGGAAGGTTCCTCTTTGGGGTAGGCGGAGGTAAATGTCACGCTGATGTGCCAGCCTGGCTGAGGGTCAGGGATCTCGGGAAGTGGCATCCACATTACTCGTCTTCATAGGAGAAGCAGAAAGGCACAGGTGTTTGGGTTGAGTGTGGAGGAAACACAAGAAGAGAAGCTTGTGCGGGTCCCCGAGCACTTGGGGTGTCTTGGCCAGAAGAAGGGATGGGGCCTCATCTCTGGTTTTGTGGTTCTCCATTTCAGTCCACAGGATGGAGGAGTGTGTGTTGGTTCAGGTGAATGTTACACGGAGTGAATTCTAAGCTATCCTTAATATCTTCCAAAGCTGTCTCAGAGGATAAGTAGAGAGGATGTATGAAGTTTTCAGAGAGCCAACCGTTGACTCTGCTGTCAGCGAGGGTGGAAAGGTCTCCGTGGTTACCACAGCGTTGTCACGGGAGACTTAGCAGGTTTTTATAAGACCTGCGTGTGTCTTCCTCCTCTCACCCTACCTGAATGTCCTTAGGTGTAAAGCTTGTGAACTGGAGCCAGAAGTTGCCCTCCTGGTTCCTGGCTCACTGCTGGAGTGGCCTCAGCTTTGAGAGAAGTCTGGAAAGATGCTTGTGTGTGTGTATTAAGTCGCTTCAGTCGTGTCCGACTGTGGCTCCATGGACTGTAGCCCACCAGGGTCCTCCGTCCACGGGATTCTTCAGGCAGGAATACTGGCCTGGGCTGCCGTGCCCTCCTCCGAGTGTTCTTCCTGACTGAGGGGTCAAACCTGTGTCTCTTAGGTCTCCTGCGTTAGCCGGCAGATTCTTTACCACTAGTGCCACTTGGTAAGCCTAACAGCCGTTACTTTGTGCAGGGAAGGAACAGTTGGTGGTCTCACAGGACAGTGTAAAGACGCCCTCCCCCTTCCCTGTGGCTGATGTCTCCACGTCAAACGGGATGGTTGTCAGAGCCGCCCTGCAGAAGGAGGACAGGACGGGAGCCCCAGGGGGCGGTGTCCATCGGTTCCACGTCCACCCTGTGTTGTGATGGGGCCTCAGACGAGCCCACCCAGGGGGCTTCTGGGGAGGGCAGGTCCTCCTACCCGAATACCGTCCGTGGCTGGACTCTTAGTGCGAGGGTATCTTTCTGTTGAGCCCCGCACGTGGGTGATGGAGCAGTGAGTCTGTGCAAGCAAGCAGCATTAGAGTAAACACAGACCTTCACTAAGTAGCTCACTGGTGCCCAAAGCCCACACCCGTCTGCTGTGAGTAAGGGGGCCCTGTTTGGGCGTAAGCGGTCATGTCAGTACAGGTGTCCGCGTGTCACTGCCGTAGGAAGCCTTGCCTCCGTAGACTGATCAAAACGGGCTTCCTGGCTTCAGGGTGTAACTCCTGAAGTGCTCTTTTTTTTTTTTTAAATCTTCGTAGCATTTACGAAAAGCTAACTTACATTCTGCTGTGAATTTTTGAGCAGGAAGAAATTAATCAGGTTGCCAAATCTGTATTTTAAGAGAGAGATATAAAAATTGAGGAAATAATGTATTACATTCTCCTTGTAAAAGGTTTTCAAAACTTGACTGGTAACGACTGACACAATCACCAGTGACTTAATAGTTGTGTTTCTTACTTAAGGTTTTTCCCTTTCTCAGTAAAGCAACAAATGGGAGAGTTTCGGAAAACCACTGGAGCCACAGTCCCTGCCTAGCTGTGCGCTCTGTCTTCAGCTCTGCGGCGAGCTCTGACTGCCGTCTCACGTGTCTCATGTTTGGTGGTCTCCGTCCTTTCAGCAGCTATGCTGCCCTGGCAGCCCCCCTGCCTGCCAGAAGGGGCTGCAGGGAGTAGGTTGGAGAGGTAAATGACGTGGATTAAAAGTAATCGTAGCTCAGTTGGTAATGAATCTGCCTGCAGTGCAGGAGACCCGTGTTTGACCCCTGGGTCAGGAAGATCCCCTGGAGAAGGAAACGGCAGCCCACTCCAGTGTTCTTGCCTGGAGAGTCCTGCAGACAAAGGAGCCTGGTGGGTTTCAGTCCGTGGGGCCGCCAGAGTTGGACACGACTTAGCCACTAAACCACCACCAAAGTAATCTTGCACTGAGGTTGTTTGAAGGGTTTCTCGGTGTCCTTACCACAGGTGTCGAAATCTAGCGTGTGAATCACTCATTTTGAAGCCACTTGTCTGAGGGAGAGAAGTGAGTCTCGTTTGATCATGTGCAGCCTGTGAGACCGGGACCCTCACCCCTGCTGTCCTGGCCTTGTTAACTGCGCACAGAGCTTTCGTTTCTCTGGCTTGGGTTTGTTTGCAGAGACGGCCCTTTCCTCCTGTTTCTCTCTCAGTGATAATGAGGGGGTGCAATGTACATACATTGGCTGCGTGCTTCCTGGCTCCTGACTTGTTAATACAGGTTTATGTCGCTCACATCCATGGAGAGAGAGTAAAAAAAAAGCAGAAATGTGGATGACTTTTATGAACAAAGAAATAAATGCCCTAGTTTGGAGTAGCAAGTGTGGCAGAAACTCTGGGTTATTTTCCTATGTTTATAGCACTAGTTCCCTGGTGATGATGCGTGATGCAGTAGAATTTCCTTTTTTATTGCACTTTGCATGCCCCACTTATTCCAGTCTCTCTTGATCACGGGGGTTGCTCCCTGTAAGCCCACCGCACTTACTGTCAGATGCGTCACCCCTGGGTGGGCAGTGAACAGCAGCTCTGGTCGGCGGCCGGGCCCCGGTTGAGAGGGGGCGTCCCTTCTGGGGACAGTCTGTGTGCGTGCACCTCAGGCTCGCCCTTCTGCAGCAGGCACCCCGGTCGCCTGGCGTGCCGGCTGTCTGTAGACGGATACACACACACACTGGGTTTGTTGCTTCCGGGGGGGCAGAAGTCGTAGGACCAAAGGGAGATGCCTGGGAGGAGTGCAGGGGGAGAACATGGGAGCCGGGAGCCGGGGCGAGGCTCGCGGGCGGAGGCGGCGGTTTGGGGCGTGTTTCATCCGCAGTGACCGTGCGGGACGGTCCACACGTCTAGACCGCGGCCGCCTGCTCAGTGGCCTGAAGAGCGCCCTTGTTTTATTTACCTCCTGGTCCTCGGTCCTGGTTTTCCTTGACGCAGCTTTGAGTAGCGCCTCTGTGTGTGCTCCCGTGGGGTTTGGTTTCTTCTTACAGTTTTTGACAGTGCCCTGTCCAGAGTCACCCATCATGTCAGCTTCGGCAGACGCACGTTCTGACCACAGCCTCCCCCAAACATGCTGGGTGCAGGCCCCTTTCCCTTCTGTTTGGGGTGTCTCTCCAGGCCCTGTGTGGGAGCCGGGCCTGCGGCAACAATGAGAACATGCCCCAGACCTGGAACGGCGTGTTTGCCTGTCCTTCCGTGCCCTCCCCGCAGCCTCACACCGGGGTTAGACGGGGCCCAGGTTTCCAGCGTCCGGGCTTTCTCTCCATCCCAGGACAGCTGGGGGCTTTCTCCCTAGTCCCGTCTCTTTCACAGGAAGTTAACAAGCTGTTGCTGACATGATTCGTGTCAGTTTTCTGAAGTACCTGATTTTCTCTGCTTTTCTATTTTGGGCGTCTCTGGTCATTCAGGTGGGCCGCCAGGGGGCACAGTGGTAAAGAGTCCGCCTGCAATGCTGAAGACTCTGGTTCAACCCCTGAGTGGGGAAGGTCCCCCCGAGAAAGGAATGGCCACCCACTCCAGGCTTCTTGCCTGGAGAGTCCCCTGGACAGGGGAGCCCGGCGGGCTGCAGTTCATGGGGTCACACAGATTTGGACCCAACTGAGTGACCGAGCAGCAGGCAGTGTTGTGATAAAAGCCGTAACAGCCCGTTGACGGTCCTGAGGGGTCGTATTAGGGAGGTGCCCCCCGTCGGGCAGTGTTGTGATTTGTGTGGAAGAGAAGCCGTGAGGGTCTCCATCCATGTCTGCAGTGGCCGTGTGTGCGAGGATGTGAAATGAAGCTCTCTCCATAAGCTCTGAAGAATTTCATTAGGGAAGACAGAAATTCATTCCTGTGGTCGCGCTGAAAAATTCTCGATCTCTTCACGGTTTCATCACACAGGCGACGTGATTTTTGTCTCGTTAGTTGTTCAGATATGCGTCGCGCCAGCTAGGATGGCTTTGGCTGCAGGTAACGGGAAACCATGACTCACGTAGGCTGAGACAGAAGGACGTGATCTGACATCTCGGGCCTGGCGGTTGACCAGGCCTCTCAGCTTTGCCCTCCCAGGAGGGGGCAGTGGAAGATGTGGGCACTGGCCACCTGGGCCCCTTCAGACCCAGCCCCCAGCCGGCCCCCGTGCATCTCAGTGGCCAGGGTCTGTCAGCTGTCTGTGCCTCAGGTCCTGGGAGAAGCTGTCAGCGGTGCCTCAGCTCAGGTGCCTTGATGAAACCGACAGCTGGGGGCCCGGCCCACAAGGACGCAAGAGTTGACTGCTCACAGTTCTCGGGGCTGGAGAGCTGGGATCAGGGTGTGCGCAGGCCAGGGGCAGGAGCGGGCCCTTTTCCCAGCTTGCAGGTGGCTGCCTCCCACTGTGTGTTCTCAGGACAGTGGGAGAGAGACGGAGAGAGAGAGACGGAGACGGATAGGAAGAGAGAGAAGCAGAGAGTCAGAGACGGAGCCTGGGAGCAGGGTCAGTCCCCACCGGGGCACTTTCCCCATCACAGGCCCCATCCTTCTGACCTCAGTGAACCCTCATCACTTTCCAGACGGCCCCCCTCTCCCACCCAGCACCAGCTGGCTCTGGGGGAGGGACGCGGGCGCTCAGGCCTCAGGAGTGTGGCAGCTGCCCCGGGTCACGCTGCCTCCCCCTGCTGACAGGCTGGGCAGGGCCTTGCCGAGGGCCGGGTGTCCGAGCTCCGGGCCTCGGGGTGGGCATCTTTTAACGCTGGGCTCCCTCCTTCCCGCAGCGTCGCCTGGGAGCCCGCGGGAGACGGGAAGAGGGTCATCTCGCTGGCCGACAACCACATCCTGCTGTGGGATCTGCAGGAAAGCTCCAGCCAGGCCATGGTGAGTGATTCAGGCCACAGGGCTTCTATCTTCCGTCTTCTTGATTAGACCCTTCAGGTGAATTCACAGTACATTTGTCGGTTCATATACCTTTAGAATCTTGACACTGATTGTGCAATAAGTAAGAAGCAGACTGGCTCGTCGTCGGTCGGATGACTGACTGTCTCCCTCGGGCAGGAAGCCTCCGACTCGAGTCTAAGAGCCGTGTGCAAAGGAGACACGGAACCTGGGTGTTGACGAAACTCTCCCCTTTGGCCATAATTTGCCCCAAGTTGTGGTCTTCTGTTTCAGGTGTGAGTCTTTTTAATGAACGGTTTTCAGCATATATTTGGTTAAGGTCACCTTTAACAGAGGAGCATTCGTGACATAAAGGTTTCATGGTCATGAAAATGACTGTTGACCATGACCTGGTGACCCCTCAGCCTTTCAGGGTGTGGCTGTCGGGCGCGTCTGCCTTTCTGTCCATGTGGTATGCACACTGGCTGCTGTCCTGCCCCGCCAGGCACCCGTGTGTCCCCTGAGGTCTCACCCTGCGGCGCGGGGGCAGCTCTGCTGCAGGGCCCCGACCAGGAGGCGGCGTCTCCCCCGATGGCCCGTTCACCCCCAGACCTGCGCAGTACTCTGCCCTAGCCTTCTTGGAAACCAGTCTGGCTTTCACATACTCCTCACTTCAAATAGTGTGTTTTTCACAAACTAAATATTCTACCCGTTGGTATGTATTTTTTTCATACGTGATTCCTTAAAATGTCCTCGTATCAAATGTCTTGTTTTATATGCATTCATAATTTCAGTGCATTTGAGAAAATGAAGCAATTTGACACGACAATGCCTCTAATGCCGCCCACACCTGGGCCCCTCTGCCGTACCCGGGGGCTCGAGAGGCGCGCCTCTGGGAGACCCGTTCAGGGACCGTGTTCACTTCTGCCCGCTCATGACCGGGACGCGCGCTCAGTTCTTTTGCCTCGTGTCTTCACCCTCTGGGTTGAGGTTGCGTGTGTAGTGATTGATCGTTCATCGACACACAGCGCGGAAGTCAGACCCGTCCCAGTGTGGAGTGACCTGTCCACACACACAGAAGGACCTCTCACAGGCTTCCGCGGGAAGTTAAGAGTCGGCCAGCTTTCCTAGCACAGTCATAATGCTTCAGGAATAAAATCTGTCTTTATTAAAATTAAGAAAAAAATAAGACATCTCTCAATCCTGGAGCAGAAAGCAGATTTCACCCAAACTGAGGCCCAAGTGGGAACATGAAGGAAGCTGGCTCCTGACGTTGCCCTGAGGCCCCCTGAGTCCGGGGAGACGCCTCCACAGTCTCCCCATGCCTCCGCCTTCCGGGGGACTCGGCGGGGTGTCCAGACCACAGTGCAGGGTGTGGACTCCTGCCCCCTGTCCCCACCTGCGCTCAGGGGGCTGTTCCTCGAGACCGCCCTTGAGCCCAGAAAGGGACGAGGCTGAGCTGTGAGGGTGCCGGGCCTCACGGCAGTGCTGTGCAAGGACACTGGCCCCGGTCCAGGGATGTGCGGAGTGACGGAGCGGCCACCGCCCCCCCGGAAGGTGGTACCCAGGGGGGTTAGGAGTCCACTGCCCTGGGGCCCCCACTCTGCAGGCCCATCCAGTCATCAAAGTGTGAACAGCTCTTCAGACCCTCTGTCGTCTCAGAATGATTTTACGGTAGGGTGATTAATCTGTAACTGATTTTCTGCAGGGACCAATTTCGTTTCTCTCCCCCTTTTTTTATCTGCTGTCAGCAGTTCTGTCGATACCACTTTGCGACCCTGGGGCCGGAGTATTTAATACCGAAACCTTCCTATCGATTCCAGCCATCTTCACACCCGGCTCCTCAATTTTTGTCCTTATTGTTTGAGGATATTGCCTTCTGCGGTGAATCTAATCTTATGCTCACTGCATCATTACCTTTTGCAATTAAATCGGAGGCTCTCTGCCATTTGTAATCATTAGCGGAGCCCCGGGGAGGCCTTGGAGGGGGTGCTCCGTGGGGCCCGGGACCCCCACGCGGGCCGATGCAGTGCCCCCCAGTTTGGGTCTGCGCGTGCTCATGCCCGGGGTCTTGGGCTTTCCCCGGCTACGGGAAGAACTAGCTTCCGTGGGGCGGAAGGGCGGCTGGCGTCACCCGCCCGCGTGCAGGCCTGGGGGTGGTGCCCAGGGGAGCACTTCCTGGGAGAAGAGGACAGGCTTCAAGGACCCGGTGTGCTTCCAGAAATCTCTCGTGCAGGGTCTCACGTGTGCCGTAGGAGGCCGCAGCTCCACGTGGGAGCTGCTCCCTGCAGCCCTGCCTGCTCTGCCTGAGCCGCAGGCGGGCTCACCGCCTGGGGACAGAGGCCCAGGCTCCTCGCCTCCTTGCCCACAACCCTGCTTCTCTCTGCTTCCTGGGCTCCGCGCGTGGGGAGTGGGCCAGTGGGGAGAAGGGCCGGCTCCTGGAGCCCCCAGGTAAGAGTGGAAGGCGCAGAGAGGCCGTCTCTCTAGCACCTCACTCGTGGCTCCTCTATGGGACAGGAATACCCGTTACCTTCTCACCCACCTCGGCCAAAGACCTTGAATCCGTCCTCACAGCCTTCCCTGTTTCGAGTCTGTTTGGAGCCGAGATCACACCCGCATGGTGGGTGTCAGACACGTCTCTGTCCACGAGGAGGGGTTGGTTCGGTGCGACAGAGGGAAAGGCCTGCTCTCCTCTTCCTGCAGTGGAGTCAGCCCTGCTTGAAATGAACTACAGATACATCGGAAATGACCTCAGGTTCCTCACCCTTGCTGGCACCTGCGGTTGTGTGTGCATGTCCTAAACACAGGGACTCTGGTTTCCAGGAGGCCGCTCTCAAAACCTGTGGAGCCGGAGCACTCCTGGGGGGCAGAGTCCTTCACGGGGGTGGGAGCTGCCAGCCCTGCGTGGGGCTGTCATGGGCTGGGGCAGGGCACGCAGGGGGTTAGCCCGCCTGCCCTGTGACCCCGGGGCGGGGGCGGCAGGACCCTTTCTTCCCGTCTTGAAGGCAACAACGGGGCTGGGGTGTCCAGCCAAGTCCTGTTTCCACGACAGTCCTGAGTCCTCTCCGCGGGCCCAGAAGACAGCGCCCCCGTCCCTCCCCCGGCTCCCTGAAGGCGGAGCAGATCTGCGGGCAGGGGCGGCGCTTTTTAGGGGTTTGTCTTGTTGAATCCTCATAAGCCTTGGGGGCAGATTCTTTGATATCTGTCTTAAAAATGAGACACAGGGGAGAAAGTTAGGCCTCAGAGAAATGCAGTAACTCGTGGTCACTCACTGGGAAAGTGGGGACCCACTCGGGGGTCCGGCTCAAAGGGGAGCTGCCCTTCCCTGGAGGCACCCCTGATGGCGTTGACTCAGGGGCATCCTGGGTGTTTCGTTGAGAACGCATTTGGCTTCAGGACATAAGAAGTGACTTAGAGAGGTTTTATTGTCTGCCGAAACAAGAAGCGTGGAATAAAGCCCCCTGGGGTTGGTTGATTCAGGGTCTTCATCAAATTGAGGGCCCAGCAACTCTGCATCTTTCTCCTCTGCCATGTCCACCTGTCACTGCTCTCCCCGTCGTGACCAAAAGGTGGCTGCAGACGTTCCAGCCATCACATCCAGGCTCCATAGCATCCTTGGTTTGTAAGGAAAGCCTTTTCTGGGAGTCCTTTTGTCTCTTTTTCACGTGTGACTCTGTGTCCGGGCCTAAGCCCGTCTTGGAGAGGGGAACAAGCCCACCAGGCCTGGCTCAGGGCTCTCTTAGTCCCCGGGGGCCATGCGGGGTGTTCCAGGGGGAGAGGCTCCCGCGGTGGGGGCTGCTGTGTGACCGGCAGCCAGGGCCAGGCTCACGGTGGGCTTGCCTGGTGGACGCGGCGTCTCTTGTGCTGGAAAGGCCCCTGCCCTGCAGTTGCTTTCTGTTGGGGGCGGGGTGGGGGGAAGTAGGATGGTGGCGCTTGCTGAGCTCTCTGGCCCCGAGGAGTGTGTGTTGGGCCCCGCATCCTTGAGTCCTGCCCCCAGCCCAGGTCTGCCCAGTCCTGCCCGCTCCACGCTGAGTCCTGCCCCCTCTCCACGCCGTGGGGCTTGGTGATGGGGCTGCTGCTTGGGTCTCTGGAAACCTCACGCCGACACTCTCCTTGAACTGCCCCCGCCGGCTCGAGTCCCAGCGTTTTGTTCATGGGCGGTGCCTTCTTTGTTCTTGTCCTGCACCAGTCGCTCTTCTGAGAGGGTTTGGGGGAGCCTTTCATCACTCCTGCTGGACCGGGAAGCACTGAATATTTCTCTTTAATGCTGGGAAGCAGATTACCGTGTGCACTGCACCCTCTGGAGTTCTTGCTGAGTTCTGTCTCCGTGTCACCAGGAAACCAGAAAAAGTGATTGATTAACCTTACAACTTGCACCATGCTGGCTGCCCCACGTAGCCCCTTAAAAAATTGATGGTGAGCTGTCTTTCAGGTTTTCATTAAAATCTGCCTCGCAGACTTCTCGGCACCCATGGGCACGGCGCTCTGTGGGCCCGGTGGTTCCTGTGTTTGAGTGAGTGGTGGAGCGGGAACCGGTCCGTTTTGCAGGGCGGCTGTGACCTCGGGCGGGGCCCCTGCCCTCTCTGCGTGACCTCGGATGGGACTACTGCCCTCTCTGTGGGTGGGGGGCCCTGCCCTCTCTGCGTGACCTTGGGCAGGACCCCTGCCCTCTCTGCATGACTTTGTGGGGTCCCTGCCCTCTCTGAGGGGGGTGGGGGGCCCTGCCTTTTTTGTGTGACCTTGGGCGGGACTCCTGCCCTCTTGGTGGGTCGGGGGCTGGGCCGCAGCCGTGTCTCTACTGCTGAGTTCACACGGGGTCTTATCAGTTATCCATGCTCCCTGACAAGCGCCCACCACACTGTCAGCACTTCCCACAGTGGCCATCACGTGGTTTCTGTGGGAACAGTCAGAAGTCTGGAACCTCAAGGCCTGTGAGGCTGCGGGCCAGGTGTCAGTGGGGCTGGGGTCTCATCGGAGGGCTCTCGGACGTGCCTGGACAGAGGGCCTGGGTTCCTCATGGACTGTTGGCCGGAGGCCACCTACGTGGGCTTTGGAAGCAGGCTGTGCTGGTCAGTTTCGCGCACTTTCCTTCTCTTGGAGCCCGACGGAGTCGGAGTAGAGGCAGCACTGGGAGCTTGACTGGCAGTGACATTTCGTAAGGGTTCGACCTGGCGCTTGCTCCCGATCATGGAGTTGGGGGCAGGGCGGGCGCCCAGGAGGGCTCCCTGTGAAGCTGGACGGTGCAGGACCATCTGCAAGTTTCCTTAGAGATGAGACGCTGTCCTGACCCTCCGACCTCTGTCTGGAACTCAGGGTGTGGACTCCAGGCATTCGGTCCCTGGGAGAGGAGTGCGTGTGCCTGCGCGGACTGGCGCCGAGAAGGGCTGGCACGCAACCTGTTGTCCACGTGGTTTGCAGAGTTGGTGAGGCGGGAAAGTGGGTTTTGGGGAGAAAGGTTTTCTGGGACAGGTTGAGACTGTCCAAGGAAGAGGTGAGGTGCTTCCAACTGGTCAGTGCCTCCTGGACGGTGACCCCTTATGCGGCGGTCACTACGTAAATGGGGCCCTGGCTCAGAGTCATTCTTAAAGATGTCTCTGCTATCAGACTTCTTAATGGGGCCAGGCTCCTGGGAGAGGAAGCCATGGTTTTCCCCAGGTTCTGATCGAATACCCTTGCACTGACTGCCTCATGGGCCACAGCTGGTGGGGCTGCGTCTGGGGCCTCCATCCAGCACTGGGCCGCGTGCAGAGGTTCTGCAGAGGGCGAGGCTGGTGTTCAGGGTGAAGTGAAGTGAGTCACGAGGGGCGGGTGTCTGAGGGCCACAGACAAGCCCGGCGCCCCCGCGTCCATCCCCACAGACAAGCCCCGGCGCCCCCACGTCCATCCCCACAGACACGCCCGGCGCCCCCGCGTCCATCCCCACAGACACGCCCGGCGCCCCCGCGTCCATCCCCACAGACAAGCCCGGCGCCCCCGCGTCCATCCCCACAGACACACCCGGCGCCCCCGCGTCCATCCCCCCGAGTGACAGGCCTTTGTGCGTGAGATCGAGGGCGGGTGGGCAGCGGGATGGGGTGCCGTCTCCCAGGCTCGTCCAGTGCTCTCCAGGGTCTCCTCTGTTACCCACTGGGATCAATTAACCCCCAAGTAACAGAGCTAGAGGCCCTTGAGGCCGGAGAGGGACTGTCTGAGCGTGTGTGTGGTCAGGTCGCGGCCGTTGGTCCCTTGGCACCTGGGGCCGCCCGTGNCCCCCTGCGCCGTGCCCCGTGCCGTGCCCCGCCCCGCCCTCGTGCCCCGCCCCCTCGTGCCCCGCCCCCGTCCTCCAGGCTCGGTTTGGGTCAGCTCTGTTGGGAGCCACGCGGCCGGTCTGTGTCGGTCTCGGGGTCGTAGGGAGCTGCACAGCCGCCTTCCTCCTCCGCCCTGCCTTCAGTAACCAGGGGCTGTGGGTCCGAGCCTCTCACCGGTGGTCTGGCTCCTCCGGGTGCCCTTCGGTGGCCGCAGCCTCCCCTGGAGATCCAGGTCAGGCTTTTGCAGCAGCTCAGGCCCGAGGCGGTGACCGCGGGCTCCCGGGTCCTGTGATGGGTGACTCCAAGGTGAGGGCTGCCGTCTGTGGCTCAGCAGCTCTGTGCCTCCGGCGCGCACGCCCAGGGGTGATCAGAGTTTGTCACCTAAGTCATTACACAGACAGCCCGCGCTGCTAACGGAGCACAGAGAGCAGCTTCTCCGTGCCAGGTGTGGTGGTGACGGGTGCGCTCTGTTGTCATGGCAACGGGAGCCCGGCAATCTTTTCTAAGATACAGTTTATCCCCGCAGCACACCGTAATTTATCACTAAGCTGCAGAGACGGAGGTCGGGAAATAACTCGTGTTGCCTTCAAGGGCGGCGGCACAGCCTTAAATCTCGATCCGGGGCCCCCTGAAAGTGCAGGGGGTAATCCATAATCGAGGTGTTTGTGTGTGCTGGGCTGTGCTGGGTTTGCTGTGAGGCTGAAAGCTGCGGGTTTGGATGGTGGGGACTCTGGACCGGAATGCGTGCCTCCAGGGCCCGTGGCTGTCTTTTCCTGTTCTCATCGTTCCTTGAAGGATGTGAAGATTTTTGGGATCTATATGAAAACCTCGAAGGCTAACCTCACAGACCCTGAATCCAGGGCCTGGGGGGTGGTGTCCTGCAGCCCCCTTGCCCGCCGTCCCTGGAGGGCGTCCCTGGGGTGCTGGGCAGTGGGTGCACCAGACTCTTGTCCGCACGGTCCCTTTCCTGCAGACAGCCTCTATGCCTCCTTGGTCTTTTTCCTGCCCACTGCGTGTGCCTCCTCGGCTGGCTGCTTCCGGGGGTGCACGGGGCTTTTGTGTTCAGACCGCTGTGCCCAGAGCTGGCAGGAAAGCCTGAGTCAGCACTCTGCAGGCCCCAGGACCCTGGCAGGCTTGATTTTATCCATTTCCCTACTTCCCTTGCAAGATCTTGAGGCTTGGGCCTCTTGTTTAGGGAGAAATTACTAGGCTATTGGAAAGGTACAGGATGTAGAAACCAGTTCCAGATTTTAAAGTGGCTTTGGGCTGGAAAACCCAATCTGGGAGAAAAGATGAAAAGGACTGAAGTCGTTGCCATGAACAGGAGCGTGGAGGTCTGGGGTGCCAGGTGAGGCAGCTGCCCCCCGGGAGCTGCAGGGAACATGTGACCCCCCCCCCAGCAGGATGCAGAGAGGGCGGAGCGGCGGGCATGTTGTGGGGCCGGGCTAGGCCTTGTCCATCCTGCTGGACGCAGGCCTCTTATCCAAAGCCGCTGTCCCACCTCAGGACGACCGCTCCTCTGGTTTGGGTGTGTGACGTGAGAGGGGGTCACTGTAGAGACAGGACAGTGTAATTCCACACCCTGTGAGGGTGTGGCTTGGAGCTGGGCGGTGGGGAATCAGTCAGGTCTGTGCACCTGTGTGTGTGCCTGCTCTTCTGTACACACGCGTGTGGGCATGTACACCTGTATGTGTGGGCACATGTACCCATGCGGGCACACACGTGTGCTGTGTGCATTGTGTACACGTGTGCTGTGTGCACTGTGTACACGTGTGTGTATGCACACAGCACATGTGCAAACGTGCACTCTAAACAGCTGTGGCCGACTGAGCCTCTCCTGCCGCTGAGTCGACACCCAGGCTGTGTGTATGGATGAGGGATGGCCCTGGCCGTGACAGGCAGTGTCCCCCTCAGTGTTTCTGTAGCTTCTCCTGCTTCTCCTTCCTATTCTGTCTCTGCGGCTCCCGACAGCGTCAGCACTGTATCCTTGTTCCACGCACTTTCTGTCTCTCTGGTCCTTCCCGACGTGGGCTGTGTGCGCTGTCCAGTCTTGTCTCTGCTCATCCATGACAGTTCCCTCCCTCCGGCTCCCTCTCATCAGGATGCCAGGTCGCCCCATTGAGAGCCGCCAGCCAGCCCGTCTGCAGGGTCACAGGCGCGGCCAGCGAGCAGGAGCCCCAGCCCGGACCCCATGCTGGCTGGGGTCTGGGAGGGGGCTGTGGGGGGCAGTGCTTCCCATGTCCCTCCTCTTACCTGTGCATCCCTGCCCCCAGCCAGATCTACTGTATCGAGAGCGCCCATGGCCAGCTAGTGCGGGACCTGGACTTCAACCCCAACAAGCAGTACTACCTGGCCAGCTGTGGGGATGACTGCAAGGTGAGGTTCTGGGACACCCGCAACGTCGCCGAGCCCGTCAAGACCTTGGAGGAGCACTCCCACTGGTGCGTGCCTAGTGGGGGGGCGGTAATTAGGTGATTTATTTTGCTGATTACATCACCATTTGGAAAGGCAGAAACCAGCCTAGTTTGTGCTGCTGTGACTCATTCAATCAACCAGTTTTATTTTTCCTAAAGAAATACTAATTCCAAATCTGAATGTGCTTCATAAACGTAGAAAAAGAAAAACATTAGATTCTGTCTTCTCTTGAAATAGTGCCGGTTCACATATGCAAAAATGAACGTGCACAGATGTTCCTGGGGCATTATGTGCCATGCGTGGGGTGGAGACCCCCAGTGCCCAGTGGTAGGAGGGCGGATGTCAGTCCAGCAGCATCCATGCGGGGCACGGTGAGGGCGTGAGGCAGGGCTGGGCGTGCAGCACGCAGTGCACCCAAGACCCACCGTTCTCCCCAGCGTGTCGTTTCTGTGTGTTCACCACGTGCTAGGGGCTTTTTGCTAAGAAGTGAAAAGGATCAAGTCGGAGAAAATCAGGCATAGTGTGAGCCAGTTTTTATCCAAATAAAGCACGTGTGTGCGTTTGTGTGCTTGTGTACGTTTGCATGTATGCTTCTGTCTGTGTGCATATGTGTGCCTCTGTGTGCTTATGTCTGTGTGTTAGTGTGTACCGCTGTGTGCGTGTACACATCTGTGTATACACACGTGTGTGCTTGCATCTGTGTGCGTATCTGTACTGCTGTGGGCATGTACACATCTGTGTATACACACGTGTGTGCTTGCATCTGTGTGCGTATCTGTACTGCTGTGGGCATGTACACATCTGTGTATACACACGTGTGTGCTTGCATCTGTGTGCGTATCTGTACTGCTGTGGGCGTGTACACTTCTGTGAGTGCACATGTGTGTATTTACCGTTTGAATGCTGGAGCACAGTGTAGACAGTTCAGTCATCCCTGCAGTCCGGGAAGAAGCTCCCGTCCCCTGGGCCCGAGTGGGCTGTCGGGCTGTCCGCTGCCCACCCCCTAGTCCGAGGTCTGCAGCACCTGCCCGGCGGGCGGCCCAGCACAGCGAGCTCGGGTCCTGTGGGTCAGAAGGAAGCAGGGCCTGGTGACCAGAGCAGACGGGAGGGCAGCCCTGGCCGGGGCAGTGTTCCTGGAGGCCGCCCAGGGTGGGCTCACGTCTCGGTCGTCTCTGGTCCGCACTGTGCTTCGGGCAGTTACGGCCTTTGGTGCTCCGGGAGGCCTGTGTGCACACTGCAGTGAGGCCAGTGAGTCCCCCCGCGGTCCCTGCTGCCGTGTGGTCACGTCTCTGTCAGTCAGGATTTACAAGGTTTCAGGCTGTGCCACGAGCCTGTCCCCGCTGAACACCACCTGGTGTTGGCCTGAGCGGGACGAGGCTGCCCCGTCTGGGGGGCCGGTGGTACCAGCGCCCTGTCCCCCCAACCCCCCCAGGGTGTGGAACGTCCGCTACAACCACTCGCACGACCAGCTGGTCCTCACGGGCAGCAGCGACAGCAGGGTCATCCTTTCCAACATGGTGTCCATCTCCTCCGAGCCCTTCGGCCACCTGGTGGACGACGATGATCTGAGTGACCAGGAGGAGCGCCGTCTGGAGGAGAAGTACGTGCTTGCGACGGGCGGCCCTGGCGTGCGGGAGTGTCTCCGGGTCCCTGTGGCTAGTGTCGGATGCGTCCACACGGGGAGGTGCGAGGTTGTGGGTGATGGAGTCTGGCGGGTCAGCAATGCCGTCTGGTGTGGCCTCTGAGACATGTGTCTCTCCACGTTCTTACTGAGCTTCACGGGTAAGGTTGTCAGGACTGCGGCTGGTCTGTACCCTCGGGAGTGAGCCGTGACCCCCGCTGGCCCTCGGGACACCCTGTGGGGGAGACTGCGGTGGGTGTCCCTCCTCGCTGTGCTGTCCTGGGCCAGGCTGTGGCCCGTCTGTCCCACTGGCAGGTAGCAGGGCAGGACCACAGGCCCAGACCTGGTCCGTCCCCCACGCCGCTTCCCCCGAGAGCCCGAGGCAGTGCTGGGACCTCCACATGAGGCTTGTCCTGACAGCCGCACCATGCTGTGGTAGCGTCTTTTCCCTGGACCTTCCAGCCCTACTTGCGTCTCCTCAGGGGCCCTCTCTTCACCCTGGGGCCCAGGCTCCGAGACTAATAGGGCCCTGGGCTTTGGGGCTCACACAGGGCGGCGGCACCCGGGAGGGCCGGAGCCCTGCGTTAGCAGCCTGGGTGTTGAAGGAGACGCCCCTTGTCTCTGGGGAGGACGTGTCTTCATGTGCGGTGGCTGCTTTCTGGTGTGAGGGAGCCTGATTCAGGCCTCCCTGGAGTCGGATCCGGGGTGGGGGCTCTGGAGTCAGGCAGCCTGAGCCCCGGAGCACAAGAGGGCTTGTCTTTCTGTCCTGAGCATCCTCACTGTCTTTCGTTGTCTGACTTCTTCCGCTGCCCCCGACCTCACAAGTGAAACTGAAAGCCCCTCAGTCATGTCTGACTTTTTGGGACCCCATGGATATACAGTCCATGGAATTTTTCAGGCCAGAACACTGTAGTACGTAGCCTTTCCCTTCTCCAGGGGATCTTCCCAACCCAGGGATGAACCCAGGTCTCCTGCATTGCAGGTAGATTCTTTACCAACTGAGTTACAGGGAAAGACCCCCGTGTGAGATGCTGACTTGGTAGCGACCTGTCGATCGCCTTCCTTGATGCTGCCGTCCTTCTGTTCAGACGCCGGGAAACGGCATGCAGGTGCAGCTGTGCTGGCTTCAGCCCAGCGACCCGCCCCGTGCAGGGCTTGGGCCTTCTCTGCTGTCCTCCCTGTTCTCGGCAGGCCGGGGTCTGTGTCCTGTCTGTACAGCGGACACAGCCAGGGGTCCCACCTGCACGTGGCAGCTTCAGACAGGCTCGCCAGAAGTGGAGGCAGGCGTGTGGCTGGCAGGCGTGCCTGGAGATGGCATCATGGTGAGGTGCCCCATGGTTTCCTGCCAGCCTGCTCCTGGGATTGGTCCACACGTCTTAGTGAATCGGGAAACGGGATCCCCCTGAGGACTTATATGAAGGGTTTGTACCAGGCTGCCCGCTGACCACCACAGGCTGGCTTCCTGGGAGGACAGGGCCAGGGGATGAGTGGGATCCTGAGCCCAAGACCAGGGGGCACGTGGGGCAGGGTCTCCCAAAAAGGGTCTCCAGAGCCCAGGAGGAGGGGCATGCAGGGCAGGGTCTCCCGAAAAGGGTCTGGTAGCCCCGGACCAGGGGGCAGGCGGGGTGGGGTCTCCTGAGAAGGGTCTGGTAGCCCCAGATCAGGGGGCAGGTGGGGTAGGGTCTCCCGAGAAGGGTCCTGCGTGCTGAGAGCCCTGTGGGCAAGGAGCGCTGGCGAGATGGGGGCAGTGCCCCGAGGCCCTCTGGTGGAGAATCTGTTGGTGCGCTGCAGGCCTGTGGTCTCTGCCTGCTTGCAGGTGGCGCAGCTCCGCAGGCTCCCGGGGGTCTGCGTGCGTCTGCGTGTGTCTGCCTTCCGGCCAGCTTCCCAGGGAAGGGACGCGGGAGTCCTGGTTGTGGGGGTTGATGGGGAAGTCACAACCCCAGGCAGGACCTGCTGGCCCTTTGCACTGGCTCCGGCCAGCCCTGCACCTGGTCTAGGCTGGGGCTGCCTCCACCCACCCCCGGACTGTGCTGTTTGGTTCCCAGGTCCCTCTGTCAGATGCCACCAGACCATTAGCCGTTCTCCGCTCAGCCACTGTCCCCTGAGCACAGACACGTCCTGCTCCAGGGCGAATGGAGGAGGTGTCGGGCAGTGGATGGCACCCCACCGTGGCTCGTAGGCCCTCTGGGGTGGCCCTGGGCTCCTGCCCCCCAGGAGGTGTTGGGCAGTAGATGGCCCCCCACGGCCCTGAGACCCTTCTGGGGGTGGCCCTGGGCTCGGAGGCATCAGGCAGTACACAGCCCCCCACGGCCCTGAGACCCCTCTGGGGTGGCCCTGGGCTCTGCCCCCCAGAGGAGGTGTCGGGCAGCAGATGTCCGCCCCCCTCGCCCTGCCCCTCGGCGGCTGGGGGCAGGGCGCCCGCCTCTCACGTGTGTCGGTGCCTTGCAGGAGCCAGGAGCCCCCGCAGGACAGCGTCATCGCCACCTACGAGGAGCACGAGGACAGCGTGTACGCCGTGGACTGGTCCTCAGCCGACCCCTGGCTCTTCGCCTCCCTCAGCTATGACGGGCGGCTCGTCATCAACCGCGTGCCCCGAGCGCTGAAGTACCACATCCTGCTGTGAGCGCCGGGCTGCCTCGGGGCCCCGGCTCTCCAGGCAGAGCCCCGTCGGACGCGGGCGCCCTGAACAGTGGCAGGGCCTCTGCCCGCCGACCTCTGCGCCCCTCCATCTCTGCCCCGGAGACTGACACAGCTGCCCAGACCGAGTGGGGCGCGCTCCCTCCTCCCGCTGAGAGGCGCTGGGCGTTTCCCTGTGATTTGTTTCCTTGACGTCGACGCCGTCTTCTCGCGAGATTAAATGGAATAAAAGCAGCGGGGGCGGCTGTGGAGTCCTCCCTGGGGCTCCGCCCCGTCTTCCCGCCTCCGCGGGGCCGCTGACGCTGCAGGTGTCCGGGGTCTCCGCCGGCCGAGGCCCCGTCCCTGGGCGCCACGTGCCCCGGGGTCCTGCGCTGTGAGGCTGACGGCCCCCTTGTCACCGCGCGGTCACGGCCTGCCTCGGTCACCCGGACGCCTTCCCGCTAAGTCCCAGGTTGTCGGTGAACCCCCCTCCCCCGAGCGCCCTGAAGCCCCGAGCCCGGTCCGCCTCCGTGGGGCGGGCGCGTTCACCTCAGAGAGGCTGGCCCTGCGCGCTCTCCCCTGACTGGACACTGGAAGACCAGCGCGGCACCTGGCTCACACTGAACCCGTATAGACTCTGCTGGATTGGTGCTGGGATGAGGCCCGGGCCGGCCTTCCGGCTCTCAGCAGAGGGCCCCTCCGGTCCGCGGGCCACGTAGGACCCCAGAGTCAAGGCAGAGGGGAGCTGGGCTACAGACCCTCGGTCCTCAAAACTCAAAAACTGAAGCTTGCTCCCTGGCGGCTCCAGCCCGAGGTGGACTTGAGCCCTGCCTAGGACCGTCCACATGGCCGCAGCAGGGCAACACCCAGACCCACTGCACCCAGGAGGGGCACCCCCCACGTCCAGCAGTCCTGACTCGGACATGCGGTGACCCGGGCTTTCCAGCGTCGCCGTCACCCAGTCACGGCAGCTGCCCCCCCACCGGTGTCTCCCAGGTCCGCCTCCCCTGCTGTCCCCGGCCGTCCTCTGAGACCGAGTCCGGCTGTCACCTCTCCTCTGAGGCGCCTCCTAGGACTCCAGCCCCTCGGCCAGCCTCGCGTCTTCCTGCCCGAGTCGTGTGCAGAGGTTCCTCAGACAGCCCTTTGCCCGCGTGCTGGGTCCAACAGGACTGCAGGAGATGTGCCCCTTCCGCAGGGCCGGGCAGAGACAGTGATGTGTCCCCCCCCCGCACAGGCTTCTGGGGCGCAGGCTCGGCCCAGTGCCAGTCACAGCGTTTCCCTGGGGGTGCCTCGGTTACCTCCCATGAGAGCTGGATGCCGTCACAGCTCTATGCGGGAGTAAATCAATTTATCCTGTAGCGCACTTAGGACCCTAAGTGTGTATGACCATTAACGGTCATCTTAATAGGAACACATGCAGGTCAGTCCATTTTAAAATAGTTTAAAATTGCAAAAGATCAGAGACCATATGTGTTGGGAAAGGTAAAATCTTCTCTGTCCCCTTTCTAGTTTATTCTGTCTGATGTAAGAATTAACCCGAGACAGATGACAGGAGAAAACCAGATTTAATTACATAGGTGCAGAGTACCCGTGAGCAAAGCAGGACCCAGGATGGGCTGGGCAGGAGGCTCCTGAGCGTTGGGAGGGGAGGGTTTCACGGGGAGGAAGCAGGGAGATGAGTGTCTGGTGAACGGTTGCTGGGCCACAGGTAGAGGCAGGACAGGACAGGACTTCTGAGTCCCCCTCCCCGCCTGCCCCCGGCCGTGTTCTGTGTGGGCATCTCGTGATTCTGCACTCCTCCGGCCGGACTCCCCTAGACAGAAATAAAAGCCAGACTTCCTGGCCCGCAGGCAGGCTGCCTGGGCCCAGGGTGGGCAAGAGGAGACGTTCTCATACCGCCAGCAGGGCAGCGCCAGGCTTTCTCGGCTTGGCTGGGGCTCCTACACTTAGGTATTCAGTTGGGAAGATGATGAAATGACGATTTTCCAGGTTTCACATGAGAACAGAACGTGTTCCCTGGGTCTGGCTTCACTCAACATGTTCCTTCCTGAGCCGGTGTGTCCAGGGCTCAGCGTGACCCCCTTCCCCCGACTCCCACCCCAGGGTCAGCAGGAGGAGGGCCAGCTCCCGTGATCGGGATGTCAGAGCCCGGAAGGTTCCAGGAGGACGGCAGGTTCTCAGCACCTGGCCGGCGTGTGGCTGTAAACTGAGTTGCTTTCACCAGGCGTCAGTGTTGGCAACATCGGAGCTCACTGGTCCCTTTGCTCTGCCCACTGGCGGTGCCCCAGCGAGCCAGGTGACCCTTCTGTCTCCTGAGACCCTCATCACCCCTGAGTGCAGGGCTGGGATAGGGAAGACCCCCACAAGGAAGCCCAGTCCCGGTGGAGCAGACCCAGGCCAGAGACCGGTCAGAGGGTGTCAGATTACAGAGCCCTGCTGGCCAGCGTGGTTGCCGTCCTTTGGCCTTGCACATCTCCAGGGGCAACAGGTCTGATCTTGGGACACCCCCGTAAAGTCTCCCCAGGTTATCAAGCCTGGAGGGACGTCGGGCAGGAGGGGGTCGGGGGCATCTGTGGCTTCATCAGAACAGGGCCGGGCTTTCCCACCTGAGGTGGGGGCATCCAGAGGGGCTGCAGCGGCGGGGGTGTGTGTGTGTTCCGGGGGCGGAGCCCTGGCCGCTTTGACCTGGGATCCACGTGCTGGGCCGTGTAGGGGTGACTTGGACTTCTCCAGCATAGCTGTGTTCTCTGCTCAGCTAATGAGCCCCTGGCTGGGGCTGAGAGCTGCCCCTGCCCTCTGCCAGCCTGGAGCCGCTGCTGCCCTCCCAGGACCGGCCTCCCAGGGGGGGAGAGGGCCATGGGTGGGGGGGCCTCCTGGGCCCCAGAATCCTGCTCTGGCTCTCAGGTGTCTTCACGGGGTCAGCAGGGACCACTGCTGTCCTTTGTCACTAACCTCCTCAGTTAGGGGAAGCGGGGGTGCTGTGTACACACCCAACATTAGAGAGATGGGCCGGGATGACCCGAGTCCCACGCACATCCTAGGAAGCCCCTTGTTGCCACGGCTTTCCTGGCTCAGGTGCACCAGGAAGTGTCCTCGTCTGCGGCTCTGACTGTCTCGTGTGGGAGGCGCTTGCCCTAGGGGCGGGCTGTGAGCAGCAGTTCAGAGGGGCCAAGGCAGGGGACGTCAGCCTGTGTTCTGTCACCACAGACCACGAGCCGCTCAGGCTAAAGGGAGAACCGCTCAGCGGCCTGGCCTGGAGGGGCCGGTATGGCATGGGTGAGCCCTGGGCCCGCAGCTGCAGGGAAGTGAGTGACTGCCTGAGGCCCGCCCTCCCCCAGAGCTGGAGGGTGTGCAGCGGGTCAGCTGTGTGGATCTGTGCTTTCCCTGCCTTCCAGCTCTATCGCCTCTGACCAGCTAGATGTCAGAGCCGACAGGAGGCCAGGGTGCTTGGCAGGCGCTGAGCCCTGGGTCTTTGCGGAGCTCCCCGCACATGGTGGGATGTGACGGGCCCTTGGGGTGTGAGGGAGTCCCCTAGGGCCAGGGGGCTGGTGCCGGGCCCGGGGAAGGGCTCCGCGGGGTCATGAGCAGGTGCAGGGACGTGAAGCCTGTATGCACCGTGGAGGCCACGCCGGACCCTTGGACCATGTCCGCCTGGCGGCCCTGCCCCCTGGTACCCCACCTGCAGGGCCATGTACAGTGGCTTCCTTCTCCAGCCTTGTTTTTTAAGCACGATAAGAAACAGGATATTTATCATCCTCTCCAGTAACAGAATCCAGACCCGGAGAGAGGAGCTCGTGCGTGCTGTCCCCGCCCAGCAGCTGCCTTATGTTCAGCTGTCGAAGCTGATGGCCCATCTACTTTCTGATGTAGCCATGATGGGTTTAGGAGATTTAGACAGGATTTTTTTTTTATAAGCGTGCAAAAAGAAAAATAGGACTGCATATATGATAATGATGAATCCTCCAACTTCTGTGTCTAAAATTGCTTCGAGGCAGGAGTTCTGCACAATAATTCACGCCCTGTTGTGTCTTATGCTTAATAAGCGTGTGGAAAACGGTTATGTCAGAAATGCCTTTCCCTTGTCATTTGGTGCCTTCTCAATGGTGCTTGCGTGGTGGTTGTGGCGGGGGGTGCTGGGTGCCCCAAGAAGAGCTGCTCAGGGCCGGGAACCCGCGACCGGTGGGGCGGGGGAGACAACTTGGCTTGTGGCGGACACTCCCCGTCCTGCCCCCAGGTGCTGCTGAGGGCACGGCCAGCTGGCCCCTGACCGTCTCTCCAGGCTGTGGGGCGGCCTTCAGCTCTGACTGTGACCGGGGATGTCGCATTCTCCCTGGGAGGCACGCAGTCCTGTAAGACCGTCCTGGAGCGGGCCTGGGCACAGATACTCATGTTTATATAGGGGACCAGCTCTGCCACCGGCCCCGGGGGTCGTTCACTGTGTTCTGTTTTGATCCGACAGATGGAGACAGCTGCAGGGCTCCGCGGCGCCCCCGAGGGCAGAGAATGGCAGTGCTGCTGCGGGCGGGTCCCTGATGCCACCCGGACCGCTGTGCCACCTGCCTGGGTCAGGGCAGGCTCTGTGCTGACCCCAGGGCCGTTCACACCCAGAAGGGGGCCTGACGGCCCTGCTGACCCTGCGCCTCTCATGCCCACCTCACAGCATCGTTTCAAGCAGAGATGGGGAACGTGGGTTTGCAGCCGGAGGGCCTGGGTCAGGCTCACAGCCCCTTTGCTGATGGGCACTCGGAGGCATCTCCGTGTCCCAGGCCATGGTTTCCTCGTTTGTAGAAAGAGAAGGCCCTCGTCCTGAAGGCACAGCTTAGATTGTTTGATGAACACAGGTCCAGGTGTTCAGTAAACTTACTTCAGATGTAATGACTGGGAGGGTTTTGGTGACTGGTTCAATCCTTCTCACGGTCGGTCTGTGTTGATTTTCCACTTCTTGGTAGGTTGCGTGTTTCTAGGAATGTTCCCATGCCTTCTGGTTGCCCCGTTTGTTGGCACTTAATTGTCGATAGTGATCTCTTATCCTTTGTATTTTTGTGGTATCAGTCATTACACCTCCTCTTTCACTTCTGTTTGTTTAAATTTTCATCCTCTCTTTTTTTCTTGGGGAATTAGGCTAAAGGTTTACCAGGTTTGTTGAATTTTTCAGAGAAATGGCTTAGTTGTGTGGATCTTCTTTATCATCTTTCGGGCTTCTGTTTTATTTATTTCTTAACCTTTGTTATTTTCTTCCCCCTGCTAACTCTGAGCTTTAGT